CTTCCGTTTGGCATTAGCGGGTGGCGATAAGGGGTGGTGGTATGGGGTATGGGGTAAGGGGTTAGCGTTTGCCCCCAAAATGATCAAATTTACCCACCCACCAGCCAGGCATATTTTATTTATTTTGTTTTTTATTAAATTCTACACAATTGGCCCCAGAATCATTAAATTTGCATACAGATTTCACGCCATCAAACAGGAGGTAGGGGGGCGTGTCAGTCCTCCAGGGGAATGGATTGCAAACGAGCGGGGTCGTCGAGTGGCTCAATGGATGGATGGGGGCGTGCAGGTTTACATTTATACGCTTTGCAGAGGGGTGCAATGATTTTGAAAAAGATTTCGTGGCAGTAACGATATGTAGCCTGAAGAGGAGTAAAAGCTGTAATTATACCCGATACTAAAAATGAGTGTAGGCCCTACATATACATTATTATATACATTATATAATTATTATTTTTGATTTTTATTGAATAATTTTTATTATAATTGTTATTCTTGATTTTTATTAAAAAACTATTATTATAATTGTAATTCTTGATTTTTATTGAATAACTGTCATTATAATTGTTATTCTTGATTTTTATTGAATAACTGTTATTATAATTGTTATTCTTGATTTATATTGAATAACTATTATTATAATTGTTATTCTTGATTTTTATTGAATAACTATTATTATAGTTGTTATTCTTGATTTTTATTGAATAACTATTATTATAATTGTTATTCTTGATTTTTTTGAATAACTGTTATTATAATTGTTATTCTTGATTTTTATTGAATAACTGTTATTATAACTGTTATTCTTGATTTTTATTGAATAACTGTTATTATAATTGTTATTCTTGATTTTTATTGAATAACTGTTATTATAATTGTTATTCTTGATTTTTATTGAATAACTATTATTATAATTGTTATTCTTGATTTTTATTGAATAACTGTTATTATAACTGTTATTCTTGATTTTTATTGAATAACTGTTATTATAATTGTTATTCTTGATTTTTATTGAATAACTGTTATTATAATTGTTATTCTTTATTTTTATTGAATAACTGTTATTATAATTGTTATTCTTTATTTTATTGAATAACTGTTATTATAATTGTTATTCTTGATTTTTATTGAATAACTGTTATTATAATTGTTATTCTTGATTTTTATTGAATAACTGTTATTATAATTGTTATTCTTGATTTTTTTGAATAACTGTTATTATAATTGTTATTCTTGATTTTTATTGAATAACTATTATTATAATTGTTATTCTTGATTTTTTTGAATAACTGTTATTATAATTGTTATTCTTGATTTTTATTGAATAACTGTTATTAAAATTGTTATTCTTGATTTTTATTGAATAACTATTATTATAATTGTTATTCTTGATTTTTATTGAATAACTATTATTATAATTGTTATTCTTGATTTTTATTGAATAACTGTTATTATAATTGTTATTCTTGATTTTTATTGAATAACTGTTATTATAATTGTTATTCTTGATTTTTATTGAATAACTATTATTATAATTGTTATTCTTGATTTTTATTGAATAACTATTATTATAATTGTTATTCTTGATTTTTATTGAATAACTGTTATTATAATTGTTATTCTTGAATTTTATTGAATAACTGTTATTATAATTGTTATTCTTGATTTTTATTGAATAACTATTATTATAATTGTTATTCTTGATTTTTATTGAATAACTGTTATTATAATTGTTATTCTTGATTTTTTTGAATAACTATTATTATAATTGTTATTCTTGATTTTATTGAATAACTATTATTATAATTGTTATTCTTGATTTTTATTGAATAACTATTATTATAATTGTTATTCTTGATTTTTATTGAATAACTGTTATTATAATAGTTATTCTTGATTTTTATTGAATAACTGTTATTATAATTGTTATTCTTGATTTTTATTGAATAACTATTATTATAATTGTTATTCTTGATTTTTATTGAATAACTGTTATTATAATTGTTATTCTTGATTTTTTTGAATAACTATTATTATAATTGTTATTCTTGATTTTATTGAATAACTATTATTATAATTGTTATTCTTGATTTTTATTGAATAACTATTATTATAATTGTTATTCTTGATTTTTATTGAATAACTGTTATTATAATTGTTATTCTTGATTTTTTTGAATAACTATTATTATAATTGTTATTCTTGATTTGTATTGAATAATTATTATTTATGATTTTTATTGTATAATTATTATTCTAGATTGTTATTGAATAATTATTATTCTTGATTTTTATTGAATAATTATTATTTTTCATTTTTATTGTATAATAATTATTAAATAATAAAAATAAAAAATAATTACTAAACAATAAGAATCCAAAATAATGATCATACAATAAAAATCAAAAATAATAATTATTCAATAAAAATCAAAAATTCGCAGCAACTCACAACGTTCCCCCTCGTTTCTCGAGTATCTTCATTGCTTGTATTTCTTTTAATAGATATATCTTCTAGGGAAATTGCGTTCTCTAAGGGTATCAAATGCTTCGCAGCTCAAAGTTTGCCGCTGTCCCCTGATGTTTATGGGCAAGACGCAACTGTTAAGCGAACAGCAAATTTCCAAATGGTGTCTGTCTGTCGGTCTCCCTCTATCTCTCTACTCTTCCTGCCTTGGTATGTCCTGTTTGTGCTTGTCTGCGGGTGTCTGTCCGCCTGGCTGCCCGTCTGTGTGTTTGTGTTTGTGTTTGTGCATTGAAGGCAAACACATGTCTCGCTGGTGTTGCTGTTGTTGCTGCTTCTGCTGCTGCTGCTGCTCGGGGCAACCTGTTGGTGCCTGTGCGTATAAATTTAACTTACCCTTGCTTATGTATGTATGTATGTGTGAGTATCTGTGTGTAAAGGTGTACCTTTGTCTTCATTTTTTTTGCTGCCCAACAATCCACTCTGGCTGGCAGAGCACCAATGGGTCGTAAGAGCAATTATTTCTGTAATGACTCTAGCTTATAGCTTAACCCTAGAAAGGAAATGTGACCCCAGAAAGGAACTTTTAGCAAAACCGGAATCCCAAAAGAATTATCCATTTTTAAGTACTATAATTTGAATAGAATTTAAAAATTATTCTTCATTCTTCAGGACCAATGGGTCGTATGAGCAATTATGTAGAAGCCATGTAGATAATATGCATAAAATATGAACAACTAGTAAAACAAGTATTGTAGATGTAGATATATATCGAAAATGTAGATACCATGTAGATTGACTATTCTGTCATTTCCGTAAAAACTTTGACTGCCATTTTCCCCCATTTTTTTTTAAAGCTACACTCCCCAACAAACTGTGGGTTGTCATAGCTAGTATTTACTTTGAAACCTCGTATCGAACAAACAAATTTAGACAGAAATTTAGTGCTATTTTTGCTATAGTTTTTACCAATTTAAGAGGCAGAGGACAGACAAACGCCTCACGATGTCATTGAATAAGCAGCATACCTATGCGTCGACGGTCCGCCGCACAGTTGTGGCGCGGGCCAATCGACCCATAATTAATCGCATGTTGCGCTCAGCCCGCATGGAGTCCGTCACTCAGGCTTTGGTCGCGTACCAGAAGCCCACGGAGGTGAAGCCCAAGCTGTTGCAGAAGGAGCACTCCACCAGCAGTGGAATGAGCGACTTTTCCAAGCTCAAAGAGCGCAACGGTCTCGAGGGTAAGGCCTACTGGAACGATGTGATCGATGAGGTGGAGCTGGCAGCCGCGTGCCGCACCCGTCCACGGATTCCAGTGGTAGATTACTCGCTGGTGTTGCCACCACGACTGCGCGAAAGGGTGAAGCGCATCCAGGACTATGACTTCTCCAAGTCGGATGATGATATTTATATACGGGATGATATGCGCGAGGACCGACCCGAGGACTATATGAGTGCCAGCAGCCCGGACAGCGAGGAAGAGGAGGTTCCCCTTGTAAGTCGCTGAAGGAAAGAGGATTCAGGAGTAGTTCCATGTTCCCCCTTTTAATATGATTATTTTTTGGATAGCTCATCAACCTGAAACGCAAGGTGGTCGAAGAGTACTTCAATGAGAGCGAACACTCGGACATTGTGCGCATGGATCACGAGTTCGAGAAGTTCGATCTGCGGCTGGACGAGCCCGTGGGCCACAGCTACAAGACTGTGGACAAGACCAGCTGGTATGCCAAATTCCTGTGCACTCCCAGCGACAAGCGTGTCTGCTGGCAGTCCCGTGTGGAGCATCCCGGCCAGAGTCGCTCCATCTACACCCTTGACGAGCAGGCGGAAGATCTCATGGATGCGGCAAGTATCAGTTGGACCCCAAAACCCCATCTAATCCTTGTATAATCTCGCTCCCTCAGTCTGCAGAACGCTTTGTCGAGTGGTTGAACTCATTTGGCACCATGGAGAGCAGCCTCACGCCGGAGAAGGTCAAGAATCTCTTCTCCATCAAGGGAGATCGCACTCTGTTGGCCTCTGTGAAAACGGATCCCAAGGAGGTGAATGCCATTGCCCAGACCGTGGCCGACAAGTGGAACAAACCTCATGTAAGTAGAGTACAGAGATGCGCACAATTGGAAGATCTCCTACTGATGCTCTGTCTACCTTTTCACAGATGGCTATCGAGTTGAAGTATGAGAAGCACATCAACGATCAAGCATCGCGCGTGAGCAAGGCACCCATCATCAGCGCCTTTGGACGCACGGTGCCGGTCAAGGAACGACCGTGGGTTAAACGATCCAATGACACGGCCATCACGACCGTTTACCCGGAGGAGCTGTTGACCCGCGAGAAGATCTTCAAGGGAATCACCCATCTGCGCAGCACCTCGGCCCTCATCGACTTCTATCTGGCGAACCCTTCGCTGGAGCGACCCGAGTATCTGCTCCAGAGCGGTGACTTTGCAGAGTCCAGTGCCAGTGAATCGGTGAATGAAGTGCCGCTCTATGAGCTCCTGGGACTGCGCTATTGATGTTTAAATTTTCTGTTCTTTCGAGTATATATGTACATATATTATAATTTTTAACAACTTAAGAGTAGGGGATCGTCTAAAGGGTCAGTGTCGTTTGTATCCACGGTAGAAAGGTGCCCACATTCACATAGACCCCGGGCACCCCGGCCTGAGCACAACCGATGCCCCAGGCCACCAGTCCCACGACATACCACAGCCCGTTGCTGGTGCAGACAAGCGGAGAGCCGCCATCGCCCGTGCAGGCATCCTTTCCGGCCTCCCCGCCAGCGCAAATAAAAGACGTGGGACTGAGGGCAAAAGATGAACCCAATCGAGTGGCTCGCAGCGCAGCCTGGCAGTTGGCATTAGGTATCAGCGGGACATCCACCTGCCGCTGAATGGCTTGATAGGCACCCGTCGGACCGAAGTCATTCTTTCCCCATCCGGCAACCCAACAGCGTTGTCCCACAAAACTTGTGGTCGGGAGGCAGATGGTGCCCACGGTGGACTTGCTGGTGAGGGACACGGCTTGGACAAGCTTCAGGATGGCCACATCGTTCTGTAGATTGGTGGGATTGAACGAAGGATTCACATACACATTGGACACGTACACATCCTGGGCGGGAATCGGTTCACTTGTGCTGCTCGCATCCCACTCCCCCAAGCGGACCTTAAACGAAGTCAAACTGAACCTGAATGCAAGGACATCCGGAAAAGGGAGCTTTAGTAGAACTCACGCTAAATTGTAGACCTTGTGGGCAGCCGTCAGGACATGCTGGGCCGTGATCAGAGCTCCTCCGCCCAGATATACATCTGCGGTTGTCAGCAGCGCCGCCTGCCATGGATATGCCCCGAAGTTCGCCTGTCCCGCTCCTGCCGTCGAGGAGCCCAGTGGCGGCGGGAAACGGCGACCACACTGATAGCTTCCCGCCTGGCAGCAGGCCACCTGTCCATAGCTGCAGGTCAAGGTAGCAGAAGTGCTCGGGATCGATGGCTGCACAAACAGGATACAGGAGATTAGAGAAGGCTATATCCTTGGAGGACTCACTCACATAAGCTCCCGTGTTGACGATGCGTATGTCCAGCTGTCCGCTACCATCGCTCGGTACGGTGGGCAGGGGGTTCGCACAGGATCCGGGCGGAACACACTGGCAGTAGCTGGTGCCTGGTGCCACAATGGCAGGACTGGGCCAGGGTCCGGGCAATAGTGGAGGCACCAGGGTTCCCACAATCAACTGCCTGGTGAGTACTAAAACAGGAGAGACTCATCGAAAGGGGTCCTTGACTGGCTTGATCTCTTACTCTTACTCGTATGATTCGCCGTACTGGCCACATCGCTTGGCTGTGGCTCTGCCCCTCCTGGTTCATCCTCTGCCTCCTGCACTGGCCCAAAACTCCAGCCATGGCCGCCATCGATGTGGAGCAACTGCAGCAGCAGCGTCAGCAGCAACAGGCAACTAAACTTAGTCATAGCCCTTACCAAAGACAACTAAATCGAGTCACCAATGCTCCGCCTAACTATATAGGTTTTGGGGCTTCACACTGTTTGTGGTTCTGGTTGCCCCAACAATAAATTGCCTGACAAATGGCCTCCTCAGCTCAGGGATTTTCCAGCAAACTGCATATAGAGTCACAAAAAACAATCATAAAAAGCAAATTAGGGCGAAAATTGCTAGCTGATGGCAATAAAAAACGAATAGCAAATTACTCTAGAATAAAGTTTTTAATGGAATTTTCAACTATAATTATCAGTTTATCGCTGGAGTAACCATAGGGAGAAGCATGAGTCAAATTATCAACAAACACAAACCCCATGTTCAAGTCGATATACCCCTCTTATGTTTAAAACCCAGTGAGAAGTCAAGCCAAAAAATAACCACCTATCCATTGCCAACACCAATGCACAACTCCATACCTATGGGAGAACTCCATTGAGAACTGGTCGTATATTTGTGTAGAATACTAAACGAATTAAGTTCTGAATCGCCGTGTGGACAGCTCGATAATTTCATTCAGCTTTAAATTCCCATTGTTGTGCGACATAGTTGTTGGTGCTCTATATATTGTGTGGCATTTAATTTGATTGTAACAACTTAATGGTTTAATTGGTAACAATTTGATGTCGATTCTGGTTTTGACACTTGCTGCGGTTGGACGCCCTCAGCCCTCAGCCACCGCTGGCCTTTGAGCTGCCCCTGCAACCACCCACTCGGAGTGGTTAACAATTTAGCGCTTGATTCTGGCTGCATGACACATTCCGTTCAATCTTAGAGCTAAACCCCCCTATAGAGCTGTTTAGATATTTTAATTCCAGATAGGAAAAGCTCTCTCTTTTTCCAATGGAGCTTTCATATCAGCCGCAACGTTGGTGCAAGTTCCATGCCTAATCAGTGCGTCTAGCAAAGCGGAACAGAATGGGTCACATTGAACTGGATTACAGGGCCATTCCCAAACTACATGGTTGTAAAAATTACTGGCAGTGGCGCATCCTTATGCGCACCTATCTGGAGACCAACGATCTCTGGAAGCACAACGATCTGAAGGATGTAAGTCCGAGCACCCACATTCCATAGGTTCTAGTATTTTCATCCTTTGATTATTTTCCACAGACCGCCATCACGAAATTCCTGATTTTGGCCAGCGTCGAGGCCGACTTAATTGAGCCCGCCTATGATAATCAGAGCTGTAAATATATCTTCGACGATTTGGAGAGCCGTTTTTCTGCATATACTTAATTTTTAGAGCTCAATAATTTGTAAAAGATGTTTAATTTGAATTAAATATTCATTTGCGGAACTCTGTCTATTTATTTTTGTCTTTTTCATCGGACTTTTCTTCGCTTTTGCATCGTCTACCAGCCGTCTACCATCATCCGGATCCATTTTCTCCACGCCCACCATCGGTTCCTGTTCCACCGTCCTCAGCGATGAAACGACTATTAATCTCCTCTACCGAAGATGAATCAGCACCCTTTAATCCGTTTCCAAAGAGATTTGATCCATTTAGTTGGTATCTCTAACATTGAGATTCTTGGTTTTTTTATTCAAAATGATTTTGGTGTTGTGTCAACTAACGTGTGAAGGGCCCCCTAAGGGTATATGTATCTAAGGGTATTATCAATTCATGTACAATGATGCATTGCTCTCTCTCTTTCTCTCTGCTTATTAAATACGGTTACAATTTAAGGCACTATTTAAAGCACTACAAATACACTTCGAGTCCAATCAATTCCTTAAGCGCTATGGGGCGCTACACATCTTTCTCCCTTCAACTTTGAACAAAATATAAATCTCATGTAAGTCCTATATGTACAGGCTAAATATTGTATGCTTGTGGTATTGTGTGGGGAGTCTTCCGCTCACTGCTGCTCCCCAATCCGATATGATATCTGATTTATGTTTGACTAGCTCGCTTCGCGCTCGACGTTGGCCTGACGCCCACGCTGGGATCGTAGAAGTAGACGCTGGGCGACCACGGTCTCTTGGCTCCGGCCAGCATCTCCGGATGGCTGGTGCGCGCCACGGTCTTGCAGTTGCCCACACCCACATCCTCTCCTGGAAAATCATAACCCAGTGCCTGGGCCCGCAGCACAATCTGATGACCCTTTGTCACATCCACATTGGCCACCACAGCGGCTTGGTGTCGGTAGCTGTAAAAGCGATTCCTTAAATTTCCATCCAGGTAAATCTGTGTATGGAAAAAGCTGATTTCAGAGAAGTTTTCTTTGCGAAAATAGTAAGGGTTTGCCTTACCTCGTATCCGCCGATGCCGGCACAGTCCTGCAGCTCCCATCTGATGTAGAGGGCGGTACAGCCCAGACTGGAGACAGCGGTGATGGTCACGGGGAAGCTATCACCCGGCGCATTGCCCGAACAGTTGGCCGTCACATCCTACGGAAAATTGTTACAGAATCTCCCCAAAGAAGCAATCAATTGTTGCATCTTACCCTGGCCTTTGCCTTGTTGTTGCACAGCACATGGTCCATGACTTCCAAATCCATAATCATGGAGTCGATAAAGCATTTCTAGAATAAAGTTTTTGCATCAAAGAAAACGTCGGTGGTCGGGGATCTCAATCGCTTACCATTTCACAAGCTGGATCGGCTATGGCCGATCGCAGAGTCTTGGACACTGTTTGGCATTCGTTATCGCACCTGAGGGCACGACAATGGCAGCACTGGCATTTTCCTCCTTCCTTCGGATCAACCTTTGGTTTGCTTGCTGCCTCTGAGCACGGACCTGACTGCGATGGTCCCAGAGTTGGCCCTTTGGCGGCGTCACAGGCACCGCAGTCCACCAGGGCCTGGCGCAGGAGCTTCTCGCACAGCTGACGTGCCTGTGGGCTGAGCTGTCCGTCGGGCAGGAGATGGCCAAAATCGCTGGCACAGAGCTGCTGCTTGCTATCCGTCTGTTTGTAGGACTCTACGTTCACACAGGTCTCCGTTTTCAAGGGCTCAGTCGATGGACAGGGCGCAATCGTTGGACATGGAGCCGGTTTGGGGCTTGGCTGCTTGGGTGGAGAAGGATCTTGAGAGGGACAGGGCGCAATCGTTGGACATGGAGCCGGTTTGGTGCTTGGCTGCTGGGGTGGACAAGGATCTTGAGAGGGACAGGGCGCAATCGTTGGACATGGAGCCGGTTTGGTGCTTGGCTGCTGGGGTGGACAAGGATCTTGAGAGGGACAGGGCGCAATCGTTGGAGATGGATCCGTTTTGGGGCATGGCTGCTTGGATTGACATGGATCTTGAGAGGGACAGGGCTCAACTCTAGCTGGCCCCATGCTGGCACATGAACCGCTGAACTTGTCATTGTCTTGGCTGTGGCAGGGTTCTATAACCTGCTGCAATATATCCTCACACAAGTCGCACTCTTCAGGACCGGGTTCCTCCAGTATCTTCTTCATTTGTTCCATGAGATTGCATTCGCTTGTCATATCCATAAAGTCATCGCCGTTGCCGCACCCCTGGCCATCTGCATCCTTGAATATCGTGGATTCCGCTGGAGGCAGCGACTTGGCACAGGCATCTTCTGCATCGGAGTCAGTGTCCGTTTCGAGTTCGTAGATCTCCAACTCTGGCAGCTGTTTGGGTTCCTCTTGCAAGATGCACTGGCGCACGGCATCGTCCAGCTGTTCGAAGCAATAGATGCGGCGCCTGTCAGTCGAATCTTTACCATTCTCGTTGGGCTGCTGGGAGTCACACTTTTGCTGGGCGGTGCAGCACTCCTCGAAGGTGGGCTTGGGTGGCTGCACCTCGTCCTGCGGCGCCACGGCGCGCTCCTCCTCCATGCGCAGCAAAAGGGCCAGCTCCCGGAAGAGGTTCTGTATCATGGCCGGACGATCCTCGTTGCAATCACAGTCGGCGGCTTCGCTCAGCTGCTGCACCATGTCCAAGATGCGCTCCTTGCGGCTCTCCACAATCAGCTCCTTGCAGGGGGCATCCGTATAATCTGTGTAGGCCGATGTGTCCGGACTGCAATAGTAACCGGACTCGCTAGCCTTATCCGTAGATGGTTCGCGGCAGCTCTTCATGTCCATGGATGTATTGTCAGCAGATTTATCGCAACAGCTCTTCGTTGGCGGCTCATCTTTGTACATCCCGCAGATTTCAATGTTCATCCCAGATGTAACAATCTTGGAGTGCTTGCATTGGGACTCATCCCCACCATGGCCGGTCTTGTCGGATAGCCCACAGATGCCACAGGGGCACTGACCCGACGCATTTTCCCCTTGGTCCTGGTTGTAGAGGCTGGTGATGATCGGCAGCGATTCTTCCTGTTGGCAGGAGAACATCGGCGATGATTTGTACGACAATCTGCGGCTGCTCTTCGTCTTGACGGTGGAGCTGAAGGACACGCAGTCCTGAAAGTCATCTTGATCCTCCCGCTGCACACGCCTGGGCCTCTGCGTGGTCTGGGACTGAGGGCTCGGTTGGCTCTTCCTTTTGGTATTCGACTTGCACTGCGACTTGCATGTGCACGAGGACTTAAGGCACTTGATCTGCAGTGGCTTGGGAATCGGTGCATCGCGCACAGAGCTTCTAAGAGACTGCATGGGATCGTGGGGCGGTGGACATATCTCACAAACATTGCACTGCTCGGAGTTCTCTGGCATCTCCTCATTCCCGTACTGGACGTGGCCTTCTTCGTGAGGAGCCTTATCGAGATTTGCGTTGTTAAAGGACTTCTGGTCCGGGGAGCACAGGCAGGTGATCTTGTTCACGATGGAGCGTGATCGGGAGGTGCCCGAGGTCTGCTCATCAATCCCAAACGACGATGGGAGTTGATGTTGATGTGTGCTCACATCTGAAAATATGGGCTCCAAATTGCCGGCAGAATTTACACCCAGCAAACTGGTTTGGATGCCACATGAGGCATGAATGGCGCTAGTTTCTATTAGGCCTCTGGATGAGCACGGATTTGAAACGGCCTGGGATTCACAAGGATTAATGTGTGTCTTCGTTGAGCTAAGATCTGCCATAACAGGCCTCGATAAACGGGAACCTGCAGAGGCCTTCCATGGGCAAGAACCTGCCATAATACTCCTCGATGAACAGGGACCTGCAGAGGCCTTCGATGAACAGGGATCTGCAGAGGCCTTCGATGGACAGGGATCTACAGAGACCTTCGATAGACAAGGATCTGGCATAGCCTTCGAGAAACAAGGCTCTACCATCGCAGGTTTCGATAAACAAGGCTCTGCCATCATAGCTCTTGATGAACAAGGATCTGCCATAGCCTTCGATAAACAAGGCTCTACCATCACAGGTTTCGATAAACAAGGCTCTGCCATCATAGCTCTTGATGAACAAGGATCTGCCATAGCCTTCGATAAACAAGGCTGTACCATCATAGCCCTTGATGAACAAGGATCTGCCATAACCTTCGATGAGCAAGGATCTGCCATCACAGTCCTCGATGAACAGGGATCTGCCGAGGCCTTCGATGAACAGGGATCTACAGTGGCCTTCGATGAACAGGGATCTACAGTGGCCTTCGATAAACGACGCTCTACCATCATATCCCTTATTATACAAGGAACCGACTTAATCTTTGATGAGCAAGGATCTGCCATCAGTGCCCTCGATGAACAGGGATCTGCACTGATCTTCGATGAGCAAGGATCTGCAACGGCCTTCGCTGGGCAAGGATCTGCTACAGCATTCGATAAACTCGTAGCCGGACAAGAGCTTACACTCGTTTTGGTGCCACAAATGGCGTTACTCCTGAGTCCTTTAGATGATGCAGCACCTGCAAGAGCTGTCGAGGCGCACAGATCAACGCTCGTGACAGGACACGAACTGGAGCAAGGATCCTCTTTATCAGCGCAATTGGAGACACTCTGCATGCCCTTGGATGAAAGAGACATATCTATGGTGCTTGTAATCGGGCAAGTACTGGCTGGAGTTGAATAATGTTTTCCTTGAGTGGCAAGTGTCGTGACCTTGGATGAATTCTGAGTAGGGCAACGACAACTGCCAGCGGGATCTGTCTCCTCCTCATTCGCGGTCCACTGAACGCCGCAGGTATCCGCATTCGACATGACTGTACGTTGGACATTCGGATTCGGTGCCCAAGCCGGCAAATTGCTCTGGTGCTGACCGCCACAAAGGAGAGACTCGCAAGTGAGGGGCTGCGGATCACTGGCAAATGGTGGCCTGTTGTCTGCTCTGGACAAACAGCGACGAAGACTGCATCCACATGATGAAGGTCTGTTCGACCGGACTATGTCCTTTGTGGTACTTTGACAGGGCGAATAATTAGTTTTCGATGTTCCACCGCCGCATGAACATGCCCCGCGACTGCTCGATGGACTGTCTGCTGTATGGTAGTCATCCGATGTTGGCAAGTCTCCTTTTGAGGCCTTCGAACTGCATGGACATGCGTTACGACTGCTGGTTGGACTGGTTGGATTCCCTATTGTGGTCTTTGAATTGCATGAACAGGCCCCACGACTGCTAGCTGGACTGGGTGTCGATGTGGGCAAGTCTCCTTCTCCTCCTTTTGTCGCCTTCGAACTGCATGAGCATGCCCTGCTGCTGCTGGTTGGCACGTCTCCTGTTGTGGCCGGACATGCGCCGCGACTGGTGGTAGGATTGCTTTCAGTAGGGTAGATTGTTTCGTCCGTTTCAGATGTGGCCAAACCGCATAGATCCGCGCATCGTCCATCGCACCGCATAAACTGTGTGGGATATGTGAACTTGTTCATGGGTTGCATATGGGTCTGTGAGGGCATGTCCTTCATGAGCTTTTCGCGTTCGTGTATGTAATGATCGTTCACGTAGGAGGATTCCGTCTGCGAGTCCTGGCTGCTGCGGTTACCCTCTGATCGGGCATCCGAGGATCTTTTAGACATGGGCTTGTGGTGTTCGCGGAGATACGACATCTCCGTCTGGGATGGCCTGTTGCGGGCGGCTGCTGCTGCTGCTGCTGCGCAGCTCAATGGACACTGCTGTCTGTGCTGTCGGAGGCGCGATTGGTCGGTCTGAGATTCCTGGGGGCGGGTGCGGTTGTTGTTGCAGGTCTGGTGTCGGCACTCGTCCTGCATATACGTCAGAGCTGGGTAATCTGCGGATGAGACGGGAGAAAGAAAAAGAGACCGGTTAGATGTGGATTTTTGGATTCTATGGCGAACACTTTATTCTTTTTCGGATCTTTCGGATTCCTGAGGGATGCCTTTGGTGTGCGGATAGGGTGTGAGGAGCTCCTTGATTTCCGAAAGCTGCACCTCGCGTCCGCGGATCATGTCCGGCGCTGACCACATCTCGCAGTGGTACAACTCGAGGAACTTTGCCTCTGCCTTCTCCCGGCACGGACACAAGTCAAACGAAGAGGTCGCACTGCAGGTCTCCCTGTCCTCGAAGCTGGTGAAGATTGTGCCGCGAGTGATGCAGCGGCACACCTTCACCTGTTCGTGCTGCACATTGTCCTCGAAGGAGCGCGGTTTCCAGGCGCACTGGCAACAGCCGCAGTTCCCCGGACAGAACACATTCCCCTCATCGTCCACGATGGGGCTGGGATCGTAGCGGCACGGCGAACAATTGGAGAACTCCTTGTGCTGCGGCCGTGCCAGAAAGTAACGCTTTGCCGCTGGCACCGCAGGCGCCACCGCCGGCTCTGGCACAGGTGTCTCAATCTTTGGTGTCGGCGGCGGTGTCAGCGAATGCTCCGAGGGCTCTTTCATGGTCACTACCGACTCTTCAGACGCCGCCTCCGACTCTGTCTCGCTCTCCTCCAGCACTACGGGCAATGGCTCTGGCGGTGGTGGTGGCGCCGGCTCTGGTTCTGGTTCCACTATGGGTTCTATCTCTATGGGCCGTTCCACTATGGGTGGCATCGGTGGCTCTGGAACTGGTTCCGGCATCGAACAGGGCTTCGAACAGGGTATGGCTGTAATCGAGATGACCTCCCGCGAGTCCTGCTCGAACCAGCACGTGTGTGTGCAGCGGCATTGGGTCACCACGCGGGATGTGCTATCGCCACAGCTGCCCATAAAGGAGGGATCCTGATCGTACGTGTAGAACCTATCGCTGTCTGTTTGACACGTGCCACACGACTCCGAGTCGCATGTCTTGTATTGTTCGGTGAAAATTCCCCCTGCGTCATACGAGTCGCATGCTAAGAACTTTTTGCTGTCGGATTTACCTGAGCCAAGTTTCGTCGCACCGATGGATCTGCACTCGCAAATGGAGGCCTGAATCTGCTGTCGATGCTGGTGCTGGTGCTGTTGCTGGTGCTCCTGGTGCTGCTGTTTCCCAGGGCAACTGGAGGTCAATTGTCTGGTGCGCGGATCGAACTGCAGGGGCATCTGAACGGTCACCGGCTGTCCAGTGACGCGGCCGCACGTCGCAGACTGCGTGTCATCGTTCACCACCAGGGTGGTGGTTATCTCCAGAGTAAAGCCGATGGGTCGACTCGGAGGGGGCATCTCGTTCAGGCTACTCAACATCATTTGGATGTTGGCGGCGGTCCGTTCCAGGGCACAGCGCATGGCCTCCGCGTCGTGGCCCGGCTCCCCCGGACTCCCACAGTCCTCGTTCGAGCTCTGGCAGTCGAAGAACGTGTCCTGCTCAGAGCGTGGCGACATGGACGCAAATTGTCGCACGAACAGCTCGCGCATGTTGGAGTAAGGGAAAACGCCTCCCGCGGCTCTGGCCAACATTCGTCCCGCTTGATTCTCATCCATGTCGCAAGAACGGTTCGAACTGATTTTTCCCAATATTTTCCGAACTTACATGAAAATTTTATTGTGTGTTATGGTGTTGGCTACTCAACTAAAACTAAAATTATGACAAAAATCGAGAGCAAAACTAAACTGAATGACAGTTTACAGAATTTCATCCGATTCGATTGCTTTGTTTGGCGATAAATGGATATAGGAACGATACTCTTATCGTTAGGGGGACACACGAAAACTCGAAAGACAAGAAAACGTTTTCAGTGGATATACTTTTTATATAATCAATCTACTTCAAACATTCAACGGCAAATGGGGAAAATATTCAATTTCTTCTGCTTTCTTCGCTTAGTTTTCGGTGTGTTCATGCTTGAACCAGCGCACCTTCCGTATGGAGGAGGAAGACTTCCTGCTCTTGGCCTTGTACCTGTCTCCGGCAGCGCCAGGAGCGCCGGCACCACATCGACGACAACCACTGGCCACCCCAGGTCTGGGCTGGTAGATGTTCATCTTCACTTGACCGCTGTCGGGATTCAGTTTGATTGGGAGCTTGAGAGTCACCGGATCGCCGCGCAGACTGTACTGGCGATTCTTGGGGCAGATGCAGGTCTCCTCCGTTTTGAGAGTGACAGATACCTCCAGCGTGGCTGGATAGTAGTTCAGCTCGTGGGGGGGAGGATTGCGGCCAGCGGGTGCCACGGCCGAGCCATAGCAACGGAGTAGGTTCTGGGTGGCGTAAAGGGCCCGCTCCAAGACGGCACGCATCTGGCCAGGATCCTTCAGACTGCTGACCACCTTGCAAACGTCCCCACCAGAGACACTATTATCCTCACACTCAGTATCGCTAATACAGTCGTAGAAGCGGTCCTGAACCCTGTCCCTGTAACTCTTACAATGGCACTTGTTCGTGGTACACTTAGTCATCGTCAGGCAATGAAAAGCAAATGAAGAATTTGGAATTTTATCAGAGGAAAAATTAACTGATTTTGTCTGTAACGAGGCTATGATCTGCTACGCATGGCCTCCCATGATCGGAAAGGAAAACAAATACTCGTATGTGTCAATCGAGGTATTTATTTTGACATTTGAAGGAACAATGGCTAAAACTCCATCACTGATTCAATTGCTGCATTTTTTCCAACCGTTCATGGTAGTATCTGAAGAGAATCTCTGCGGCCTTGAGAGAACGGGCCAGGACATCTCGCTTGTCGATGGGACCGGCAAAACGAGTGAATGGCTGGTGAACCACCTCGTAGGCATAGCCCAAAATATAATCCTCTGTCTCGCTTTCACTACCCTGGCAATCGTAGAAGTGGTCCATCTTGTTATTCGAATTGAACGTGGAAATGCGTTTGGGAATTTTGAATTTTAATAATGAATTTTGAGAATAACTTGAATCAAGTCTGATGCAACGAAACTAAAGTCTAGGCAACTGTGAGCGTCGCCCCAACGATAGACACGATAGAAACGAATCGAAACGAAGGTAATCGTAGACTGTGCTGTAATTTAAGCACTATGTTGGTTGACTTCTTGGTACGCCCATTATTTCGAGGGCATGATTTGGTCGACGCACATGAGTGAAGAGTGAAGGGGAATCCTTTTTCTCGTCCGCCTTTTCTTGCATTTCCTGCTCTTTCGCCTTCTGGCAGTGGAAGACAATCAAGCGCTCGTTGATACGCTCCGCGATCTTTTTCATCGTGAATGAAATGTTGGGCTTGAAGATCGCATTCAGGTCGCGCACAGCTCCAAACGCATTGGCGAACAGCTCGAAGCTGTCGATGGGATGGGGTCGCGGCACCCAGTACAGATCCTGCACCAGTTCGATGCTATCGCGAAAGGACTCGCTGGTCTCCCACTTGCGCAGCAGGCGAGCCCTAAAGCGATCCACGTCCTGCACCTCCGACTGCAGCAGCTCAACAAAGCCGCGTGTACGTTCCGGCAACAACATCAGACGCTGCTCCACATCCACACGGTCGCATTGAATGCCGCAATCCGAGGTCTGGGGCGTGGCCTGCACATCCTGGACGCAAGTGGATATCGGGTCCGTTTGGACAATGGCGCGGCACACTCGTTCGAACTTCAATTCCACAATACTCGCGTGCTGCGATCGGAAGGACAGTGCCGATGTGTCCGAGTGGACGGTGTAAATAGAATTCATCGAGTAGAAGCTGCTGTTGGACGGGTTCCGCTGGAGGGCACGGCTGCGCACTCGTCCGCGATAGATGCGTCTATAGATGTGGCGTTTGAGCATGTTCCGCTTGCGTCGCACCGAATAGAGTTTCTCTTTCGGCTCCACCTCTGGGGGCGCTATGCCCTCATCGATTTCATAGAAGGAATCCATTGAAACAGGTGCTTCGGGAGCAGGAAGTTCTTCGATGGAAGCAGGACCTGCGCTGATCGTCTCCACGGGAGCTGGAGCCTCGGCGAGAGGCTCACTGATACCTTCCTCGTTACTTTCCTCATCATCGCTCTCGTTCAGATTGATGCCATGCAAAAGTCGATATCGGCGTAGTGCTGCCATCGCTTTGGCCTTTGACCTGCCTGTTGGTCTCGGTGGTGCTTCCGGTACTTGAGGAGCAGCTCCACCCTCCCTGCGCACATCACCTTCTCCCTCTCCGTCTGTGCCCCCACAGACCATCTCATTGGACTTGGTACTCACCTCGGACGAGTTCTTGGAAGCGAGTATGTGGTCTGCCAGCTGCTTCACGCTGCATGCTATCGCCTGGAATTTCTTCTGAGAGGGTATATCCGCTTCGCTGTGTCGTTGCTAAACGGAAAAACAAACAAGAGAGGGAAATCTATGAGTCTCAGCCTGGCACACCTGGCACACCTGTCGTCCTGTAACCCACCTCGACATCGCGCAGGATACAGCCCAATCCCTGGCTTGCGGACTGCAAATCCTTGATCTCCTCCCGTTTGGCCCGCTTGGCCGGACTGTCGTAGAGCTCGTGCGCCAGGCTAAAGCCCTCCGGGATGACACCAATTTCGCGCTCCATGCGCTGGCACAGCTCATCCTTGGTGCGCAACTCATCCTCCAGGCAACGGGCGCGCTCCTCGGACTCCTTCAACTGCGACTCCATCTGACGGATCTTGTTCTCCAGGGTGCCAACCTCCTCTTTTAGCTCCCCGTTTGTGACTTCGATGTGCATGAAGCTCTTGCGGAGATCGTACATCTGGCTGCGCAATGCTTCGGCATCCTGCTTCAGCGCCTCCTCGGTGCTCGCCTGCAGCTTCTTGGCGAAACTGAGGTCATCGATCAGCGCCTGGCAGCGTCGCTTCTCGTTCTCCAGCGCCACGGCCAACTGTTGCTCTGCCTCCAGCTGCTCCTGGTCCTTGTGGCTCTCCAATTGGCTGCGCAGCACGCGATTGTCCTCGAGGATATCGCGATGCTCTTTGGTTAGCCGCACCAGGCAGGTCTTCAGTCCCAGCTCGGTCTCCTCCAGCTGTTGGATCTTCTCCGCTGCCGCACGGGAGTCCTCGCGCAGGCAGTCCTGCAGCTGGCCAATCTTCTGCTTGAGGCACACCTCCTTGGCCAGATACACCTCCTCGCGCTCCTTGTACTCCTGCTCCTGCTCGGCCCAGTGGGAGTCGGCCGACTCCATGGCCTCGTAGTGGCGCGAGTCGAGTGCCTTCAGCTGGCTGCGCAGCTCCTTCACCTCTTCCCTGAGGAAGATCACCTCCCGAGCGTCGCAGCTGTGGCGTGGACTCTCCCCTTGGCTGAGAGTGTCCTCGCGGCCATTGCACTGTCCGGAGTACAGGCGGGGACTATCGGCGGACATGTTGTTGCCCATTCTGGCCAGAGCCAAGAGGCGCCAGATCAGCAAAAGTGGCAGAGATCGACGCAGTGCCTCCAACTGTCGCTTCGTTCGCTGACGCTCCTCGTGCAGATGCTCCAGCTGCGTCTCGGCGGCACCCAAGTCCTCTCTCAGAATCAGGCACTCGGCCCGGCAGTCCTTGTACTTGGCACTCAATGCTTCCTTGCTGAACTCTAGCTCTACGTTCCGCTGCCGGGTGATCTCTAGTTCCACCTCGTTGCGCTGCAGATGCAGCCGCGTGTCGTTCTCCGCCTCCTCAAACTCACACTTGGCCTCCTCCAAGAGGGCGTTCTCCTCGACCAGCTGTCGCACTCGATCGCTCAGCTCGCGGGCCTCCTTCTCCAGCAGCACCTCTCGCTGCAGTCGCTGCGACAGATGCTGGGCCTGCACCTCCCCGGCGCTCTCGTAGACCAGCACCTTACGCTCCAGCTGGTCCAGGCGCTCCTGGTAGTACTGCAGATGCGGGTGCTGGTACGCTGCGGAGGATGTGGACAGATCGCACTCTACAAAGACGCCGCTTTCGCTGAGGCTGCTGCTCTGCCAGGCGGCACTCGATGATCGCTTGCTGGGCGTTGGCGGGGCACTGGGCGGGGCACAGCAATTGCTGTACGGCTGTACAGTGGCAACAATCCTATTGTTGCTTTGTGTGTGCCGCAGACGCTGATCTGCTTTCGTCTGTAAATGAATGTAAATTTTAAATTGTTAAATGAATTTTGCGTGTATTTCGAAAAAACTTTGCTTTTCGGATCTGAGTGTATGGCTGGATTGTAGAAATATATATTTATATCCGGTATATCCCTAGGGCTGGTCAGTTCGAGAACTGACGGAATGGCCAGTGCCTGCTACACACCTGTTCGGCTGACGGCATCATGGCATCCAGATCCAACTGCTGGACGCACTGCAGCAACTGTTGCAAACAGCGTTTGTCCCTGTCCTCCAGGTGCTGTGCGGATTCCTCCAGCAGGTTCTGCAGTCGCTGGCAGTGACCCTCGCAGGTGCTGTCCATCTGGTGGGGCGAATTCGAATTAGATCTTGTACATCTCCAACTGTTTATTTGCTCAAATTATCATCAAAGTGAATGCTTCGCTTCACACAGCACACAGCACACAGCACTCTCCCCTCCTGCCTTCGTCTCTAAAATTTTTGCTAATTTCACTTTGCTTCTCTAATAAATAATTACTTTTCGGTTGTTGCAATTAAGCGAATGAATTTGATTTTCAAGCTGAACGACTTTACAGCCAGCTGGTTTCGAACTGAAAGACGGCTGAAAACTGTTTGGCGCGTTCGGCTCTAAAAATCAAAAAGGTATCAAAACCAAAGAAACGAAACGAAGGATGAAGATGCGAAGATATAGACCTGTGCTATACCCTATAACAACCAGAGATAAGCACAATTACTCAATGAAGAGAAAGGTATCTCATTTGGGGAGTTCTCGCAACAATCTGTTCATTATTTCTAATGATGTTATAGGGATGTATGGGCTTACAAGGGTACAAGCCCCCTGTAAGAGGGGAAAGATCTAATGACAGGCTACAGGACATATTGTGATTCTAATGTGTGTCTTAATGGTATCTTTTAAGTTCTTCTTACTAACTATTTAATCAAATTTAAGGTGCCTTAAAGTTTATGTCTCAATTTCCTTACAAAGTGCTCTTTGCACTGCTTGCTCTATAATATCTGTAGCATTAGCCCAACATACTCTACATTTAGAGGGTACTTTTGGGCCTAAGGCGTGGGTCAAACAAAGGCTTAGCCCCTATATGAGTAATAGACAATAAAACACAAACAAAATCGAATGCAAAATCGTAGATGGTGTCCCCACTTAGGGTCGACTCTGCCACCTTATAAGCAAAACATATTAGGCACTTGATACTGTTTTTGGTTAAAGCAACTCTTAGGATGAAGTAACCCTCTATGGAGAGGCAGAGCCACTAACCGTAGTTGGTCCGAGTCTGTCTGTGTACTCAATCATTCAATCAATAGTTAAGTCACACTAACAATTGGAAAGTTTAACCGCAAATACTGGCAATTGGCTTGAATATTTTATAATACAAAAATAATGAGATTGCCATTAACTGGACTCCACTGCACTGCACTGCACTGCTCCACTAAGACAATTTTCAAATTGGAGAAGGAAAAACAA